AAATTGGTTGCATTTCAATCTTCCGTCAAAATTGGCACGAACTTTCCAGACAACCCAATATATTAAAAAAAAAAAAAAAAAATGAAAAAATTAAATAGATTGTTTAAATATAAAATGAATTAAAAATTCTATCGATTTGATGACAAATTAAACGACATAATAATTAATTAAATGAATTTTATTATATTGTTATTTTTAAAAAAATAAAAATAAACTATCACAAAATTAAAAAATAATATTTATTAATTAATTTGATCAGGTGGTGTTTTCATAGCAACTTTGTTTGGTCTCGCTTTGGCAATGATAACATTAGCAGGTGAAGTTTTATATTATCGTAAAAGAAATGCTTCTCAAGGAAAAACAAAGAAAAAAGAATCGAAAAGTACGAAGAAAATAGAAACCGACGAAAAGTTGATTATCAAAAAATTAGCTTCAAAATTACAAATGAAACCTGCACCAACCGATGCATTTTTCAACAGGCACCAAACAATTGGTCAACCTCGTGTATCACATATATCCGTTTATCCACGAAACTTTCCTTTTAAGGAGTGATCTTTTTACAATTATTATAACATTAATATAACGCGATCACATTATAAATATAATAATTATGGTGTATATAAGATGAAATATTGTCAATAGGAAATCCGTAAAGAGTAAATAAATAAATAAATATTTAACTTAATAAAACTTTTAAAGTCGACTATACCTTATTATCTCCTTTTACTTATCTATTTATTTATAAGATAAAAATTATTTACAATTTATTATTCAATAAGATGTTAAATTAAATTAAAAAGAATATGAACTGTTTTAATATGACTTTTTACAAGACTATCTAATTTAATATTATATTTAACTTGAAAATAAATATAATTTTGAAAATATTCATTTTTTAGGTATCATCAAAATTGTATGTGTTATATGTATATATTTTTCATTTAATAATTAAATAATTTTCACACATTTCATGCAATTTAATAGAAGAATTTTACATTGTAATTTTTTATATTTTATAGAGAATAATTAGAATAATTATAATAATCATAATATATAGAATAAATATAATAAAAATAAATATATAAATTTATATATAGATAGATAAATAGATACATTTTACTGATTCCCCGAAGGGTTACACTCCTTTTACAATTCTATCCTTAACCCCTTCAGCAGCACGCTCGAGTTAACTCGAGCGGCGTATATAAATTTATATATATATATAATTATTATATTAATTATATTATTAATATATTATATACATATAGAAGAAGAAGATGTTTTATTTTTCAAGTATATCCCTTTAGGGTGTTTATCCCGAAGGCCCCCCCCCCTACATGTTCGTTCCCCTTGACAATATACTTAATTCTAATTATGCCCTAATATAATATTAGATATTAATATTAACAATATAAAACAATATAAACAATATAAATGTTAAGAATAGCGTATATAAGAGACGTTATGTCTTCTCACTCCGCCGCCCCTACTCTTTACCCCTACTTCTCCTATGGGCCGCACAGTCCCTTAGTACAGGGCGCTATTGCGCCCTCTCCTTATTCTGTATTCGGTCTCGCTCTAGGCTTGTTCAACAGTTCTTTCTTTTYCACCGTTTCTTATAATAAATCTTACTTTTAATATTAACTCTGCGTTGTCTTATTTATCAGCCATACCTTAACAATAAACAACATTAAACAATATACCTCATTTAGTAATATTATATACATATAATTAATTATATTTAAATATATTTTAATAATAAATATATTTATAATTATTTTATATTTAGGGGTACAATGCAAATTAAAAAAAAAAAAAAATAGCCTTTTATCAAATAAACCTACTTTCAAATAAATATATCATAATTAGGATATATTTATTATTATAAATAAATGATGTATCATAAATTTAAATTTTCATAATAATTTATTACAGTATTTTATACTTCCAAAGATTTTATTACAAGTACGTTGTAATTTTAATTAAGTAATTTGATCTTGCAACATGTAACAAACATTTATTTGATCTTTTCTCTCTCTCTCTCTCTCTCTCTCTTTCTCTCTTTCTCTCTTTCTAACACAATCTATTTATGAGTTCTATTAACATGCAAATAAATAAAAGTACAAATGTGTACGGTGATGTTCGATTAAAACTAATCAGATATTAGCATTATTTCTACATCGTTTCCGCGAGAAATGCGAAATAATAGTTGGTGAAAGTTAGGAATTGAGATCAACGACCTAAACGCGTTCCATTGTATTTTTCTACTAGAGCTTGATATAATATAACGATCGATAGAAATGTTAAAAACAAAAAACAAAAAAAAAAACAAAATAAAGTAAAAAGAAGAAAGAAAAAAAAAAGCACTTCTTGATTCACAACGCTCAATTGTATTATCCACTTGTAATTTTATCTATTTATTTCAATTAAACTTTTTTCATTTTATTTTATAAAATTTAATATAAAATATATTTTCTTTTTTCTTAATTTGTACAGTTTTCGATGTCACCACAGTGAAAATTTACGTGAAAATACAAATAATTTGTTTCACAATCGCATATAATTATTTGTAGTTGTCTAATGAACATTTGTAGTTCGATTAAAAATTGATGAAATTAATAAATAATAATATCAACAAGGATAATTATTTACAAAATGATTATGAAACTAATTAGAATTCGAATAAATTGAAAAATCGAATTAAAATTTATTCTTTTTGACGTAAAAATGTGTAGACAACAGATTAAAACAATTCCTGAACGTTATATATATATATATATATAATATTATAATTACTGAAATATATTTAAATAATTTCTTATTATATATTATTTTAAAATAAATTTATAAATAAAAAAAATAAAATACAAAATAAATAAAATGTACTTGTTAAATTAAAAGAAAAGAAAATACAATATATTTAAGAACACTTGTATTAAAGAAAATCGAACGTTTAGGTAATCGATCAATCGCAACATCTCAACTCATGCGAATCTTATCTCTGTCTTTCTTTCTTTTTCCCTTTCTTTTATTATACATTATATATAATATTGAATGCAATTTTCTGGAGATTGGTTAGAACGTTTCACCGAAGTAAGAGAGGAACACGAAATATTCAATAAGTGGGGGTTTGATTTAAAAGAGATTTACATAGTCAATATATAAAGCCATTCGAATTGGTAGAACTGTATCATTTTGATAGAAAGTAATAATAGATCGTTTGAACACTAGAATTGAGAATTGATTTATTTCAAATTTGATTATTCTGATACGGCAGGTGTCGATGAACTACATTTAAGGATGATCGATTTTAAGGTACGTCAATTATTTACGTCAATATATATATTCATTTTTAATTATTTGAATTAATATTTTTAAACGTTATTAGTCGGTATGATTTTAAAAAAAATTAATTTTAAATATATTTAAATAATTAGTCAATTTTTTAAATATTCATTCTGGCCAATAATTAATATTGAAAATTTTTAATATAGAAAATATTCGTGTATTTTTTGCACATAAAATATTAAGATATAAAATAATTTTTTATATTTAAATTAATTTATTTGATATAAATTTTTTAAATATATTTTAATGTATATTAATACATATATTATTTATTATTAAAAAAAATATAATTTAATATTAATTTAAATATAAAAAAAAAGGAAAAACAAACCATTGTACAAAATATTCAACACAGTGTATTATTTATTTAGATATTAAATATAATACGTTTAATAATAATATATTAGTGTTATTTATTTAAATATAAATTATTAAATCTTTCAAATCATTTATTAACAATACATATTCATACGAAAATATATTACTACATTTTATTATAAATATTAACAATTACATTTCGTATATTTTAACAATTATTTTTATTAATCGATGTAATACTTATATCTTTTATTTCACATTGGCAATAAAAAACAATTAAATAAATATTATCCATTTTACAAATCTTTTTTTTTATGTTCATTAATTATTCAATAATAATTTATAATATTCCTATTGCAGATTTATTTGATAATCGCTTTATCTGTATATATAAGTGAAGTATTATCGATAGATTTTAAATATGAATATTTCAAGGATTCATTAAAATCCGACAAATTGGAAAAAGAACCATTTTTTCTAAAAACTGACGTCTATTCAGAATCCTCGGATTTAATTGGAGTCAAAAAAATTCCCAAAGAAGATAAACATTTAAAAAAAACAATATTACCACCTTATCCTATAATAGATAAAGATAGTGCCAAATACAAGGATATTGTTTTGAAATCAGGTTTACCATATTGTCAAGAAATCAAAATTCATTCTAACAATGATAAAATTAATAAGGATACTTGTTACAAATGTAAGGATTTAAAAACTGGTAATACTTATGATTACTGTACTTACAATCCAAAAAAGGACGATAATTATTCGGAATATTTGACAACACGAAAACGAAGATCTAATTCAAACATCGAAAATATAGAAAAATCACCGTCCACAAAAATGTCTTTGGATGATAGCAAATTAAAAGTTGCTGCCTCTGAACACATCGAGAATTTAAAGGATCGTTCGAATTTTGATCGAAAGTTTGAAAATCCTTACAGATTTAGTGACGAAATTTTTACCGAAGCTAGCGAATACATTCCCGACAAGTATAAAAAAAATCATGAAAATTGTGAAAAAGTATTAAAGGATTCTATGATTTGTATGGTTTGCAAGGATATGAAAAGTAAAGCGAAGTATGAACAATGTTCCTACGTAGCTAAACCTAATGAAAAATCTTATGCTTATAGCAAATCAAAGTCATTTGGAAAAGAACATGACGAGGATGCAGAACCGGATGAAAAATTAAAGGTAATAATATAATAAATAAATATATATATTCATTTTATATTATTATATAAAGTTAGCTAGTACATATAATTAGTCTGAAACATTTATCAAGAAAAAAAGTTTTTTATTTTTTCTATTATTAATTAAAAGTATTCTTTTGTTCATATTTAAAATTAGAAAATTATGGCCTATATTTATAAACTAATAAAAGTTAGAAAAAAGTAATTAAAAAATTATTAAAAATTTTAATAAAATTATATAATAATTAAGTTAATCACGATAATAATTATAATATAATTATAATAATAATTATTATATAATTATTTTATATAATTAAAATAATTATTTTTATAATAATTATTATAATAATTAATTATATAATATAATACTTAATTAAAAATATATAGTATATAATATTATATAATTTTTAATTTAAATATATAAATAATTTAAATATATATAATAATTATTATGGTAAATAATTATTATATAATTATTTGATAATTTTAATTAAAATTATTAAAATTAATTTACTTTAATTAAAATAATTATTTATTAATATTAAAATAAAATATTAATATAATAATTTGAGTAATAATTATTTAATAATAATTTAATTATTGTATAGTATAATATTATTATTATAAATAATATTTATAACAATAATTAACTTAATTATTAAGTTTATAAAAAGTTATAAAAAAATATGTATAAACTAATAAAGTTTATAAATATTTAGGTGAGTTAAAAGAAGTTTTACTTATTAAAAAAATTAATAACTTTTTATTAACATTTTCCATAATTTAGGTTTGTAATTTTAAAAACTATATATAAATTAATAGTTATATTATTTAAAACAAATTATATAGATCCAAAATATTTGAAAAAAGAGTAAATAATTTTTCAAATTTACGTTCTCATTTTTTCTTCTCATTCCTATAACCATTTATCAAATGTAAAAAAAGAAATGAATCTGAAATTTCTAATTTTATTATTTATGACTTATTTATGTTTTAATTTAAAGGTTGATCCAGAAAAAAAATATTACGAATCATCGTATCCAAGTGAAAGGTATGAAAGATCACAGGTGAAAGTAAGAAACGATGAAGAAACTGACAAAGATGAAGAAAAATCATCTACGACTGATTGCAAAAAGTTCGAAAAGGATGGTAAAATTTGTACCGTTTGTAAAGATCCTAAAACAGGTGGTAATTACGAGAAATGTTCTTACGCTTATCAACCTAAAGATAAGGTATACAAATTCAGTAGATCTAAATCATTCGGTTATCCTGAAAATTCGTCAAAAATATCATCAAGTTCGAATAAAGAAGACGAAGATGAAAAATCTGATCGTCCTATCGAATCCAAATATTCGGATTATTCGAAAGATTATAATTTACCTGACGAATCTAAAAGTTATTATGATAAATCCGATACCAATGATAAAAAAGATTCATACGACGTTTTACCTGATTATTATCAAAGTCCTTCGGAATATAAATCAGAATCAGAAATAAATTCGGAAAAAATAGATCAATCTAATTGCAAAATTGTTGAAAAGGATTCAATGACTTGTAAGATTTGCAAGGATCCTAAAAGTGGTGATAATTTTGAACAATGTTCTTACGCTTATAAACCTAAGGACAAAGTTTACGCATATACCAAAGGTAATTCTTACGGTAGTCCTACGAAATCTGATGACAATGGGGATGAATCTAAAGGTTATGACGTACAAGAAAATATTAGAAAGATTATCAAAACACCGTATTATAATAAGCCTTACGATAAGGATTATAATAAGGGTTACGATAAAAATGAAGATTCGAATGAAAAAGAAGCATATCCTTCGGAAAATTCGGAACGTTTGATATTCGAACCGTCGACCTTGAAAGAAGCAGCAGCTGCCACTAAAGCAGCTATCGATGAGACTAAAAAAAAAGTCAACGAAGATACTTACTTCGATAATAAAAAAAAGAAGGCTGATATAGAGAAAGTTTTGAAAGAATTTCAAAATGAGGATCGTAAGAATTGTAAGAAAGTAATGAAGGATCAAATGACTTGTTATCAGTGTACAGATGAGAATGATTTTCGAAAGGAAGAATGTATGTTCATAGGTGACCAAGAACAACCGGATAATATTAATAATAACAGTAATGACAAATTTACATATCGCGAGGTTAAACAATATAAGATTGATCCTGATAACAAGTCATCGAGTTCGAGTTTGAATAAGAGTCAATTAAAAAGGAAAACGGAAATTCTTGAACCAATACCATCGGCTAGTGAAGATTCTTATGTGACAAAATTGAAACCCGTTGAAAGTGTTGAAAAAACAACGGAGGAAGAAAAGTTAGAGGAAGTTGAACCTTACGAGTCTGTTGCAGAAACTCGACCTATTTATGACAAAAATTTGGGATTAACATTACCAGCTTTTATGTTAACAAAATCGGAACATGAACAAGAATTTGATGATATGGTTGAATCTAGTAGAATTTAATCTAAATTGATTTTATTTCATATTATTCATTATTTCAATTCTAATAAGATCGATTTATTGTTATTTAGTTCGTAAACATATATTTTTTTTTTGTTCTGATAAGACATATTACCTAGTTTATAATAAATCTATTGTTACTTAACTATCTACTATCTTTCTTTCTCTCTCTCTTTTTTTATCTTATAATGACGAAAGGATTAAACTTTTTTATTACATCAAAAGTATATTGTTTCACATGATTGATCATAAGTTCATTCGTGCGAATCTTGATTGTACCAATCGAACAAATTTTCTTTTTTCTTTTTTTTTACTTACTATAATAAATATTCTCGAAAGATTTGCGTCAATACTTTTTTCTAATGTTACTAAAGATTAGATTTTTTTTAATTCGTTCTATCTAAAAATGAAATCTTGTTTAAAGTTAAATTCAACTCTCTGTAAAAATATAATTACACGTTATTATACGTAGTACATTCAATTTATCACACTTCACATTGAAATCAATCTTTCGTATAGTTTATTTATTTTTTTGGAAGTGAAAACTTCTTTAAAATGGATGTGAGTTGAAAAAATGAAACGCGGTGATCTAGTGGGGGAAAGAAACGACCTTAACACTACGTAAGAAGAGAAAAAGAGACAAACATATCATTATTTATAAAAATATTTGATTTGCAAACATATTTTAAAGTGTTTTATTATTTACTTTCTTTGTAATTATTATAAACATGCGCGCCTGTATGAATGCAACCCACGAGACACATTTTGAAAATGTGTGGTATCTCTTCTTATCAATACCACGAGATAAAGATATACAAGATGATTAACGTATAACGGAGAACTTTATTAATAAAACTATATCACATATGTACAATGAGCAGTTAAGATAGTTAAGTTAGGGAACACGTGGTGAATGTTATGCGTTGTTGCGTTGTGTAGCGTGTCGCGTGTAGTGTGTAATATTACCATTTACTATTGTTCTCTTTTGTTTTATGTGTTGTTTGTCTGTTTTACCGTCTGAGTGTAGTTGTATGAGTGGTCTGTAGAGGCGTGACTGTTGATACGCGTCCGCTACAAATGTTGCTTGCGAGCGGCATCTGTTGGGACGGAATTTTTGTTCTGCCCGAAAGATAGGCAACCCATCATACTACGTGTATAAATAGTTTTGACTGCAAAAAAATTCCGTCCCAGTAGATGGCGCTCGCAAGCAACATTTTCAAAGTGTGTCTGGAGGGTTGCATACGAACAGGCGCGCATTTTTAAAATTAAATTAATAATTAAGTAATAATTACAAATTAAAAGTACAAATAATATTATAATAATATTATATAATAAGTTATTCTCGAAACTTGTTTATTTGAAAGTTTTACTTCTAACTTGTGTGATAAACACACATGATTTTTTTTTTTTTTAAGCACTTTCTATACACGCTTTCGCGTTATTCACAGCAACAGGAACTTTTGGACGAGTTGAGGATACAACGCCAGACATGCAAGAATTTCCTTTGATGTAAGAATTGCTTGATGCTACATTACCACTACTTTTAACATTTTCGGCAGTACTTTGAAGACTTCTGATAGTACCGTTAGCTTTGCCTAGGGCAAGAGAAATGCAACTTTGCATTTGGAATATATTACTTGAATAACAACCAGGGAATATGCTGTCCAATGCTGAGAGAAGTTGTCTGGCGACCTAGATAAGTAAAATTAATCAAATAAAATAATAAAAATGATAATAATTATATTGCTTTGTTTTAATTATAATTATACTGCTTTAAGTTATAATTATACCTCTTTTTTTATGTTAATGCAATATATCATTAATACTTACACCAATGGTAGCATCCATGTTATTTTGTGCTGGTACAATACCCTGTTTGGCATTACTTACACACGAATCTAATGAAGCGAATGAACTTAGGCTAATTTCTCTAAGGGCAAGTCTTCCAGGTTCTAAGCAATGATCGGCATTTTTGCCTTGTTCTTTAGCAGCTTTAATAGCATTCTAGAAAATGCAAATGAAGTTTTTTTTTTTTTTTTTTAAATTAATTATATTTATTTTGATATATACTTACACGAATTTCGGCCATTGCAGGATTCGTCATGTCATTTACTGCTTGCATAGAATTGATCTTAGTGTTGGAAAGTTTAACATTCAAGTCAAATTCTAAATTTCTTTTCGATCGTTCTAAATCACTGATCACTCTATTGACATTTCCTTTGGATTGTTGCAAACGTGCTTTTAAAACTTCTAAAGATTCTGCTTGAACGTTGCTAATCTGTTTGTACAAAATTTTATGATATAAAAATTATTAAGAAAATTCATATTAATAATTTAATTGTATATACAGGGTGATCTGTAACTGTTACACAGATCACTCTGTATATGTTTACGTGTACGTTTATGAATATTTTATATTAATATTAGGTGAACCGAAAAGTAATGTAGCTTTTTAACCTCAAAATTCATACGAATAAATTTTTCAAACAAGTTTTTATTATTAATCAATTAATTTAATTAATTAATCACGTTATCAACAATCTTTTTCTATCTGGTATGCAAAATTTTTAATATCGTAACGATAAAAGTCATCAATTGGTTTTTTGATTAAAATATTAATATAAAAATTTGACATGCGTAATAACGACGCCATTACTTTTCGGTCCCCCTAATATATTAATTTATGACATATTTATATGCATATATGCGCGTGTTTTTATTATTTCAATAATATTAATTAATAATGTATGAGCCATTTATTTTGAAAGTGGCCTAATTTCATTTATGTTTAAATGTATATATTTATAAAAAAAAAAAAAATAGGAAAAATATAAGAACGTCTTTAGTTTGCATTTATTATATTTTCGTATTCATGGTTTTTTATGATAATGTAATTTATTTTTTAAAATCAATGGAGAAACTTTATCTCGAGATTAGATAAGGTTTAATGAAAAAATACATATTTTCTGTCTCTAAAATTACAAAGATATTTAAAAACAAATTCGAAGTACAGGTGAATGAAAAAAATAATTTGTTTATTAAAAATTATTATTTTAAATATTAATCAATCGGTAACGATTGTTTATCGAACAATTTTTAATTATGCAAAAAATATACTAAAACGGTAAACGTGTTCTCAAACGAATTTTATTTCTTGTCAAATAAATCTGTACTTCTCTTATGCTTTGTTATTACAAAAAACATGATCAATAGTCAAGCAACGATTGTTTGCAAAATTTCCTATTTAATTTTCAATCTATCGCAACGATTCGAAACAATTCTCGAACGAATTTATTCCTCCGCATTTTTAAGTTTAATAAAAAAAAAAAAGAAAGAAAATAATAAGGTTAATTAGATATCATCAAAAATTGTTTTACAAATATAATACACTAAAGATAATAAAATTTCACTCGAAACAAATGCGTATTATTTTTTCTTTTTCTTTAATACTAATAAGTAAATAAAAAAAAATATATATATATATTAGGGTGGGTCAAAAAAATGACTTAATTTTTTGTTTTCAAGTGCCACGGAATAATGGGTTGCTTGACACCTTAAAACAATTCTCACCAAATATGAGCTCTTAATTTTAATAGGAAGATCCTCCGCATCGCAGTTTTTAATTTTTCTTTTCAGTCTAATAGATTAAAATTCATACCTCATTATTTATTGATTGTACAGAAAAATGTTTTAGACAAATTTTGTAGGAAATTTAATGCTCTACAAAAAAGGTATCTTATATTTTTTCCGTAAACCTCACCATTTGGATGATATTAAAGATTTAAATTTGATGATTTTTAGACAAATTTCATTTTTGTTTATGAATTTTATAACTCGACAATAAATGACTATTAAAAAGTGCACAATACAAATTTTTGTAGGAAATTAACTGCTCTATAAAAATGGTGTCTTATGTTTTGGCAATTAAATTAAACGTTCAAAAGATATTCATCATCAAACTTTCATGTGTAGTGATTTTTGTCTCTGAATATCTTTTGAACACAAACATGAAATTTGTCTAAAAATCATCAAATTTAAATCTTTAATATCATCCAAATGGTGAGGTTTACGGAAAAAATATAAGATACCTTTTTTGTAGAGCATTAAATTTCCTACAAAATTTGTCTAGAACATTTTTCTGTACAATCAATAAATAATGAGGTATGAATTTTAATCTATTAGACTGCAAAAAAAAATAAAAAAACTGCGATGCGGAGGATCTTCTTATTAAAATTAAGAGCTCATATTTGGTGAGAATCGTTTTAAGGTGTCTAGCAACCCATTTTTCCGTGGCACTTGAAAACAAAAAAATAAGTCATTTTTTTCCCACCTTAATATATATATATATATATATATATATATATATATGAACTTTTTTAGAACGTTCTTACCTGAACGATGCAAAAAGCAACAACGAGACAAATTATTAAATTATTCATCGTGAAATAATTTTTAAATGAAAAATATGCAATAATTGACTAATGAAAAATTGCAATTAATACTGATACTTTTTGATACACTGAAAACAGTTGAATGAAATTAGAAATACGTCGGTTATCATTTATAAAGACTGAACACAACATCGTATTTACGTATGTGAATAAGGATGATCGTGTGAGAAAGAGGAATATGAAGTGGGGGAAAGAAAGCAGATAACTCTTTCGTAGAAATACGTAAGCAGGTACTTACACATATGTATGCACATATATGTAAATAACAAATATATATAAATTAACGTTTGCGTGTATGTTATTTCCCAACTCTCAATCCCCTCATCACCGGTAAGAGCAGGAATCCCCGTAAATTTTATCTTACAGAAAATCCACGAGCAAATAACCAATGCAGAATGGATATAAAAATTGTAACAGTAAAAGAATCCAAGGTTTTGAGATAAGAAATATATAGTGTTTTTTCTTTTTAATAACTGTTTTTTCGTCTAAACATATTTATCTTTTCATATAATAATTTAACGATATCGTTTTATAACAGTAATCATATTGAATGTGATTAAATAACTTGTTTTTAATCGAACATTTCGAGTTCACAGTTGAATGGCCGTAACATCAACCAGTCTAATGGATTAGATATCAAATAAATAAACGATTTAGAATGATTTAAACTTTTTTTTTTTCAAGTAATCTTATTGACCGGATATGTGGATAGTAATATAGATTAAACTTTCTCAAAATATACTTGAGATCGATAGATTATCGTAGAAGACCCACATTTGTTAAGAATATTAAGATTCACATAATTGTTTGTCAATACTTATCAAATATGTCGATTAAAGACAAATTATTTGCATTTATTTTTATACATTAATATTTTGGACATACACTAATTGTAAGTCAGTACATGAATCTTGACATTCTACAATTTCAGTCGTTTTATTTTTATTTCGGTAACATATTGTATATAGGCCTAATTACAAGAAAAAATGATGCAAAATATGTAAGGAAAAAATTATAAAAGAAGAGGAAGTTTATTTCAATAAACGAACGAACTTTTTGATAAAATTTTATTTAAAAAATTAATTTTATTGAAATTATTAAATTTAAAACATTTAAATTTTTAATGTATATAATAGATACTTTATTATATTATAATATTATTATTATGTTTATTATTAAAATATTATTTATTATTTATTTATATTTATTATTATATTATTACATTTATTATTTAATAATTATTATAAATTATAATAAATTAAAAATCAAATTTATAAAATTTAATAAATTAACTTTTTCATAAATAAATAAATAAAAATAAAATAATAAATAAATAAAAAAATAAATAAAATAATAATAAAATAAAAAATAAATAAAACTTTTTAAATATATTATAAAATATAAAAATATTTTATTTGAAATAAATTTTGTACAAATATCAAAAGTGTGGGATTAAATGTGTATATTATTAAATATAAAATATAGACACAAGTAAAATATTTAATTTATAATAATATTTTTATATATATATATATATATACTATATAACTTTTAAATAAAGTTTTAAAATGATTTATATTAATATGACATTTTTGTCTTATTTTTAAATGTAAAATATGAAAAAATCTCAGACATCTTGTATAATTAATATTTAGTTTATATATTTAAGTTTATATAGAAATATAGATAGTTATGTGATTAAAAATTAAGTTTAGGGATAAACATGAAAGTAATATGATGAACGATTTTGGTTTTTGGTCAAGTTATAATTGCTCAATACAATAATTTCTTTTTCTTTGTTTTTTTGTTTTTTTTTAAGGAATGAATGAATTTATCAATATTTTCATCAAACTCATGCTGATTGCAATTTACGATGATATCAACGAGATAATAATAATTTATCAACTTAAAAAACTTAATTGACTGAATTGTTTACAGTGTATCGTTATCATTTTATAATATAAATAGATATATATGTATTTCCTTGAAATTCTAGAAATTGCGATTGTAACGCGGAAGAGAGACTGACTAACAATCTTTTTCTTGGAAAATTTTATCGGATAATTAAAAAAAAAAAAATAATAATAATGATCAAGATAATAATATTAATAATAACAATAAATTTTGTCTGAAATCAATTCAGACTACTGGCCGATTATTAAAACTTTGCACATAAATAATAGAAAAAAAAAAAAAAAAATGATAAGCTGTAAGAAGTAAAGTGTGTCATTTTATTTTCCTTTTTAAGGGTTCGAGTCAATACTTTTTACGAACACCTTCTCATATCACACCTATTCAATACTGTCAAAATGCTTGCCTTTTCTTTTTATTTATGAATTAATTATAGAGAAATTATGTTTCTAAATAGTGTTTTATAAAAATATTTTAAATGACGTAAAATGATAAAAGACATAAAAAGGAAAAGGTTTATCGTTGGACATTTAAATAAATTTTTGTCTACCAGTTAATCATGCAAATTGTTTAATTATTTTTATAAGAAACCATTTTTTTCATTTTTTGCATTTAATCTTATTTCTTCATAACGATAAGTTGAACAAAAATTATAATAACATATAGCTTCATAATTATTTTTTTTATGTTTTTCCGATAAAAATAAAAATAAAATCATTAAGAATTATTAATACAATATTCAGCCTCAGTTAGAACCTTTAGTGCATTTTCGCGTGATTCGGTAACAACATCTTGATAACAAGTGATACCGTGAAGATAACCTTGATCAGAAGCAATGTTCCCAGTTGTTTTTATGGATTTTGCGTCTGGTTCAAAGCTTTTAATTCTTACCTCAAGTTTTGTCATTTTTTTATTGACACAATGTAACATTATTTTTGGCAAACGACTATAACAATCTGGGAAGATACGATTTAATTCTGTTACTAGTGTCTGACCAGTCTGTAAAAAATAATACGATCAAAATGTTGATCAATTGTTTATTCATTAATGGATAAAAAAAAATTAAATATATATGACAAAACAACAATCGTACAGAAATGATTTCTTCGATGGTCGTTTCAACTTGTTCAATAAATTTGGTAGCTTTTTTGGTGCATTTGTTTAATGAAGCATAACCATTGATGTTTATTGTTCTCATAGCTAGTTGACTTATTTCATCACATTCAGTTGGATTCTTCCCTTTTGATTCTGCATTGGTGACAAATACCTGAATTATTATTTTTTACAAAATAAAAAAAGAAATAATATTGAATTTTATGATACTTCAAATGTTATTTATCTAATATATTTATAATATACTATTATATATTTATATATTATTAGTATGTAGTATATATATATATATTTATAATTACTATTTAATATTTATAAAAATAATAGTATATTATGGTATATTATATATATATATATATTATATAACATATATATAATTATATTATATATAATATTCTTTAAAAAAGAAATAACATAAATAGTATAATAAATAATAGTATAAAATAGTACGACATTCTGTATCACTTCAATATTTAATTTACAAAAAATTAATATATTTTTGTAATTTGTTTTTTTTTTTTTTATTATTTATTATACTATCATACTATATACTATAAATAATATTAATTATACTCATTCAATTCAATACACTTACGCGAATTTTGTCCAATAAAACATTATTAAAACAACGAATAGATTTGATATCATCTTCCTGGCGTGGAAAAATTTTACTATTGAAATTAAATATCAGACTATTTCTATATCTATTAACATCCTGAATCTCCTCCTCAATTTTCACTACAGAATTTTTAATTTCTTCTTCAACAACATTTAAACTTTCTTTAACTTTGTCTTTCGCGGAATTAGAACTTACTTTATTAAAATATAATATTACTGTCAATAAAAATATTGTGATCTTCATTTTGATTTATTTTAATCTTCGATCGAGAGTTTAACTTTAACGAAAAAAAATCAATGATTCTATCTCGCGGTTCAGTTTTATAAGTCCACTGCGGTTTTTGAAAATTGAATTTATTTGTCAAATATTATTGAAAGATAAGCACGAATTAGGTACCATGGTTACTAAGTAGTTTTTCTCTTCAATTGGAACATTTTTTCTTCATTGATTTTTATCAATTAATGGTCTTTCTTGATCATTTCTTCTTCCATTTTTTTTTTTTTTTTTTACTTTATCTATTTACTCCATTGAACACACTTTGGAGATATTAGGAAACAAATTGCTATTTGTATCGTATCTTATCAATTTTAATTATATATATATATAAACAGATGGAATTTTTATATTAACGTTCATCTTTCCTATCATCGTGTACAACAATCTTTTATTGTTAAAAGTACAAAAAATCACTTTGATTAATTTAACGATACAGTAAAACTTCGATTATCTAAACTTCAGTAATCCGAATGACCATTCTAAATATAGAATGAGTCACTTACCTATGTAAGTGATTCAACTATGACTTAAAAATATTAATTTTATAGAACACGTACCCCCTGTTGCTTCAAATGCCTGATCATATGCTTCTGAATTTGTTAACAATTATTTGTAACGTAGAAAGTAATTATTCAAATAATTTGCTAACCCAAATATCTAACTAGTACATTTAAATAATTTACGTGGATAAATAAGCAAAGAGAAAATTATTTGATCATCAAACTTTCATGTGTACTGATTTTTGTCTCTGAATATCTTTTGAACGCTTAATTTAAACGCCAAAACATAAGACACCATTTTTATAGATCAGTTAATTTCCTACAAAAATTTGTATTGTGCACTTTTTAATAGTCATCCATTGGAATGATATTGAAGATTTAAATTTGATGATTTTTAGACAAATTTCATTTTTGTTTATGAATTTTATAACTCGACAAAAAATGACAATACAATACCTAACAGAGAGTAAATAGAGGCAGAAACAAAATAGAGGCGTTCTGAGTTATACACACTACGGCGCGCTCCATACTTTCGGTTATAACTTTGAGAATACTTTGAATATCGGTCTGAAATTTTCGAAGCATATTTTTGAAATGTTTTTCTTACGAAATATGTGGAAAAAAAAAATTTGATTTTTTTAAATC